CCCCCGTGAGGAAGCATGATCCATAGGCAGGAGCATCACACGCGGGGAATCGCTCGCATCGGGACCTCTGCAGCGTCAGTGCAGTGCAGTGCCAAGAAGAGCAGCACCCAGTTGCAGCCTGATGTCCTAGGTGCACCCCACGTGGCTGGAAAGAGGGTGCTGCAGGTGGAGCAGAACAGTTCTCCCTGGGGTGATGCTCTGCCAGGAAGCCCAAAGACAAAGGGCATCCAGGTAAGGCCACGCTAGGACTTCATGGCACAGCAACACCCACCACGTGCAGGAAGATGCGATGAAAAAGAGAATTTTTTAGCAACAGAGAGCAACTCACAGGGCCTCACAGGGATGAGCAGATCACCTGAAAGCTACCAGGAATAGAGCACACCAGAGTTTAAGGGGATATAGCACCCCAAAATGCTCAAAAACTGGAATTGCAGCTTGCCCAGGTGGAGAACAACACTCCCTAAGCCAGCTCGGTAGCGCTCAGTCAGTATTTAAGCCCTTGTCCACTCTCAGCACTAACCTCTCCAGGATGGGAGTAAGCAAAATCTACACTTGAAAACAATCTACTGACCTCTCTAGGCAAGACCTTAGCCATGCTGTCACAGCACTTTTGTAGACTCAGTTTTAAGGCACTTATCATGCGCAAGTCAAAAATTACAGCTTACATGTTGTACCAGCTGTAGAGACATCAGAGTCCCAAGTTACACGTTGAAGAAATTACACTAACCCGTGATGCTGGAGTGCTCCAGGGAATTAAGTGTCCTTAGATTAACCAAAAAGCAAGGGTTAACAGTTCTAGCCAGCAAAAAAAGACTTTCTTCTTTTTAGTGGCCACCTGTGGACACGACCTCTAAAGGCTCTTCTGCAGCCAGATGCCTCCTTTCCTCCCCGACAGCCCAGCGAGACACCAGTTTATGGGATGAGCACTCACAGGGGTGGCTTCTGCAGCTTTAGGGCTTGCATTCTTTTTCAGGAAAACAAAGCTCCCATCCCAGCTCAGTGTATTCTCTTCAAGTCCTCCAAGGCCTCGTAGCCAAATGGCCCACGCATGAACTTTGCACTGCTAGGAGACATCTAATTGCAGAGGCCTCATGACCTAGGAAATCACTACCAAATACTTCAAATGCCGCCGGCATCTTGACTGCAGCTCTTTCTTCTTCACACAAACACTGTCCTTAGCTGTTCCCTGCGTGGCTGCAAGACTTTCGAGCCGATCAAGTGCAAAACCCTTCCACGCGAAGCTCCCCCAGCCTGTATTGCACGTGGGAGGACGAGGAGAGCCCTCAGGCTGCTCTGCAGCTCCAGCACGGAGCTCCCCTTCCCCACCAGTGCCACGGACCCACACCAGTCACCACAGGGCTGCGCCGCACGGGCCAGGACCCACCGCGCACAGCAACAAGGAACCAGGCAACGCAGACCCTGGAAGCCTTATACGTACTCTCTGCGTATTTATTGCGAAATAAATTACAGCAGCAACCCTCCGTCTAAGTAAGGGAAAGTCAGCGATTTCTTTAGGAACGCATGCTCTGGCAGGCAGAGCAGCAGCTGTTACCAGCAGATGTGAAGTCTTCTCATGGGGCTGGGAGAGGAATGAGCAGCTGAGACAGTACACCACTGTCCAAACCAGAACGTGGCCGGGCTGCCGCCCCGCTGCACGGCGTGCCAGCACCTCTCCGAGCAGCTCCACTATCAGCACAGTAAAACCTACCGAGGTCAGCTCGTAGGTTTTGGACCACAGAGGCCAGCACCGCTGACTGTTCAACAGCGACAGTACACTGGGAGCCTCTTCGCTAAGCTCTAATCCTGTCCAACATTGCTTAATTTGGAAGAGGACAAAAGTTCACAGCTTAAAATAGTGCATTTTGTCCATCAAGCTTTTCAAGCTTAGAGAGCTTGAAGACACTCTGATGGTCCTGTCTGAATGCAAGTGTCGGGCCAGAAATGGGAGCACAGGTCCTTGACTGGGGGCGGTTCTGGTAGACCTGGGTAGACCTAGACCTAGCCAGACCTAGGCCTCCTCTCCACCCTTTTGAGAAAGCTTTCCCCTGCTCTGAGAAGGGAGAGAAATGGTTTGTCGTAGCCAAGAGGAGCTTTGTGCTTTGTCAATGACTCCCTCTCCAGTTCATCACCGCCAAGGAAGTTTGTGTTGAGGAGTTTGCTTTCAAGAAGAGACTTTCCAACCTGAGTAACCCTGGGCTGAGAAAAGCCAGGGATGAGTTGCCTCAGAGGAGGAGAGGGGGTTTACAGCCTCCCTCCTCTCTTTGGTAGCTTTTTTAAGGGTGGCTCTCCCTTGAAGCCTGCCTGTTAGTTGAGAAAAGACAAATCTTGCAGCATCCCTTGCAAACAAGCTGCTAGAAATGAGAAAAAACGGAGGAGGTTGAGGTGCTGGAAACCAGCCTCTATTTCTACGCTGCTCAGATGCCAAGTGTAACTTTCCACTTGGAGCCCCCGGGCACTGCCAAAGTCTACAGCCCCTTCAGACGCCACAAACACTCCCTCCTTCAGCCGTTCCAGGGCAGGCAAGGCAACAGGCGCTGGGAGGATTTCCAGCCTTGGAAAGGAATACATCCAGAAAATATCTTCATTTAGAACGGAGGAGTATGGCTCAAAAATAAAGAGGGCTGCCAGACATCACTTTATTTAGGGGTGTGGCTGCAAAGACAATCCCACATGGATTTGGTCAGGCAGGAGACTCCATCACCTACAAGCCCACCAGCCTGATGCTTCTCTTAGGTGTCCAGGGCTTCCAGCGAGCCAGGACCCCTCTCCACCGCTCCTCCTCTTGCTGCTTCCATGCTTGTGGCACTAAAAGCCTTGAACAGAGGCACTCGGGGTTGAATTCCCCTTCCCTAACTCACTGTTCCTCACCAGAAACCTTTGTGCTTTAGTTTGCAGACAATGCGTTCACCGGTGTGACCGTGCTGAAGACCGCTCACCTGGAGAACAACCGGCTCACCCAGCTGCCCCGCAACTTCCCCTTCGACAAAATGGAGACACTGATGCTCTCCCGAAATGCCTGGCACTGCAACTGCCAGCTAGCACACCTGCGCAAGTACGGCACCGCGTGGCCCTTCCCTCCCCGCGTTCCCCGGGGTCTCCTTGGGGGTCCCCTCGAGCTGTGCCAGGCAAGAGGAGGCTGCTGAAGGCTGCGCAGGCGCTCAGCAGCTCGCTCTCCAGCCTGTCCTCCCCATTCATGGTGTGAGTGTTGCCCATGATGGTTTGTACCTCCTGTAAACTCCTGGTCTTCCTTCTCCCCGTGTCCCAGGTGGCTGAAGGGCAATCGCACCCGCACCGATGAGACCTGCTCTACGCCCGCGCAGTACCGGGGGCAGTCCATCAGAGACACCCCGGCCCTCCGCACCTGCAAGCTCCCCACCAAGAGGTCCAAGAAGGGAAGCCGCCATTAAACACGTAAGATGGTTCCTAGAGCCGCTTCCTACCTTTTAGCTTTTAGCCTGACTTACAGCAAACCCTGATGCCACCGCAGGTACGGGGGACTTTTGTCTCTGACTTCAGTGACACTAGGGTTTGGCTCAAAACAGCTCATGCATTCACCCACCGACGCCTCCGCTCGGAGCTACTCCACCTCCTGGCAATACTGGGCTCCACGGGCTCCCAGAGCAGAGGCTCTGCCTGGAGCATCGGGGATGGAGTCAACCCTGTAAAACAAACACGGGGCTAAAGACAGGCCTGGGGCAGCAAGCAAGGGTGAAACATGTCATTAAGTGTCAAAACAAGGGTGGATTTAGCCCACTCTTACCCTGAGCTGGGATCACACAGGCTTTACTTTTCTAACTGATTGGAGATGCTCAGCCTTTTGCCCTAGTAAAGGCAAAACCCTCCAAGTCTGGTTTGAAACCCAGGGCAGGGCATTGCTGGGAAATCTGGCCCCAGGCTGCCCAGCCCATGTGGAAATAGATGTCTTCCACAAGGAGCCGTTCCCAGTCCAGCACCTGCCTTTCAGCAACTACAATTCCCATCCAAGACACTCAGGTATTGAAAAACACGGGCTGATGCCTTCAAATGAGTGTCCCAGAAGGGGAAGGTTCGAGACAGCAAATATTCTTTGAATAAAGTGTTCTGGGCCAGAAGGTGATTCAGAGACAGGGCTGACTTTCCCTTGAGCAATGAGCTTGCTGACATCTACCAATCCAAACACCAACTGTGAAAACCTACCACACAAACATCTTCCACAGCTGGAAACTACCAAGAGTATCAAATTCAGCGCAGAGAGTGGTGAGAAAGCCACAGCTGTCATCACTCCATCCCAAGCATTTTCCTTTTCCCCATCCCAGGATTAGGTCTGGAGCTTGTATGGATTCCAAAGGACTTTGGATGAGCCTGCAAGTTTGTAAGGTCTTGGGAGAGGGACCTTTGCTCATTTGTTAAGTAAAGTGCAGTGACCTTGCACCGCACAGTATGAACAAGGGCTGTCACTGTGCCCTTTCATAACAGAAAGGACAAGGCAGAAGCCCGAAGCCCAGTTATGGCCGTTTGGTCCCCAGTTCACTAAGGACATGCAAAACAGGATGGAGAAAGTAAATTTATGACCAAAGTGTCAGGGATAATGCCAGCTGCTCCGCGCCTTCCTAAAGTGGTTTTTTCTTTTGCAGTGCCAGAGGTTTTATGGATTAGAGATGGAAATACCAATCGTTCTGTATAGGGCGGGTAAAGTTCCGCTCTAAGGACACAAAAACTTCAGTTTTCTAAACCACAATACTTAAATGTATTTTATTTACAGGTCTGGCCCTTCTTAACCTTCTTCTCTCCCTGCCTGACCTCAATTCCAGTTCACTTCTCCATGATGAGAGTAAGAAAACCATGACAATAATACCTGGTTTTTCTATAGCACCTTCCACCCAACTCTCTTAAACAAGTTTACAAGTGTTAATGAAATAGAAAACTATTTACTCCAGTCTTGCAGAAGACAAAGCTTGGTACCTTCAGGTGTGAGTGTCAAAATGCAGGCACACAAACCCACTCTGGTGTGGTGACGCGATTTTAAGGAACATGAAGTACCTCTGACACCTCTTGAGAGCCAGGCAGCTTTCTCAGATGTCAGCTATGGGGGTCTGTATTTGCAGGGATGACCAGTGACTTGGGTCACTGACGATATTTCAGATGAAAAGCTGCTTGGCTGCTTTCTAAAAATCTACCTGCCCTGGATTTCCAGAACCGGCGCACCAGAATAATTCACTACTCTTGAAAATTCCACTCTTCGGTTTCTTCCTCTATCAAGGAAGTGCTCACTGACCATCAACACTTTGGGTAAGATACTCAAGAGTCACAGGGAGAGTTGGCAGAAGAGGTCAGAGACAGGACTAACCCATCTCCTCTACTGTGGGAACTCGTAATGGCTCCTTGACTCCTAACTCTTCACTTTCAAGGATGGGCTTCATTCACTCACTGTAAAAATAAACAGACAAGTTCTAGAAGTTTACTGCCTGCTGGAAAAATCCCCTTAAACATGTGGCCTTTTCTCTTTTTTTCCCCCCCAGCAGGCCCCGGTACGGCCTGTCCTGGTGACCGGTCACTTCAACCATCAGAAAACTACTGACTTCTGAGTCCTTCCTTAAGCTTCTCCTACCTGTCAGGAAACATTTCTGATATATCCAAACACCTCCAGCCTTCCGAATCCCCGCTTCTCTGCTGATCGCAGGATGGAATCCACCTTTCCAACCTTTTCCGACATCTATATATTTTAAAAGAGGCATTTTTAAAAACTAAACTATGCATGACCGTACTAAGACAAGCTAACCTAGATCCTGCCGGTAAAACACAGTCATCTTTCCCAGAGGCAACGTAACCCACGTCCCCGATCAACCAGTTAGTCGCTGTCTCTCCCTTTCCAGTGGGGTGGAAGCAAGTGGGAAGGTAGCAGCATCCCTCCCCCAGCTGCTTGATCAGGAAAATTGGTCTCAACCCATGCAAAGAGATGCCTTCCCACGGAGGGGATCCCTGCGGGCCAGGGCTGAGGGGGAAAGGTGAAGCAATGCCCAAGAACGGGTGGCCGCGAGACCGAGCTGCCCTTTCACACCGAAAGGCAGCAATCTCTCCAGGTCGGCCAGAAATCCTTTCAGCGAAGCAGTACTGGGAAACCCCGACACCCAAGCCATCCGAAGACTGGATTCCCTCCCACTCTGTGGGGTCTACCGAGACGCGTGTACGTCCGAGAGGAGAAGGTGCGCACCGTGCAGCCTGGCTTGGCCACCCTCCTCCTCTCTCCGCCCAGACTCCAGAGGATCTAGCAGGACGCCAGGATGACTGTGGTTTATTGTCACGGCTATTACAATACCACAGTTGCAACTTAACTGTGTTTTTTAATCCTAAAGAGTTATATAAATATATGTATATTTATTCCTCTGTAACTGAGTGTAAATGACCTTTAAGAGGATGAAAACTCCTCTGTCTCCTATATAGAAATCAAATTGTATATTTTCTTATGTACATCTTCTGTATAAAGCTCTTGCTGCAAAGATGAAGTCAACAAGTCTCCCTGTGTCTGGCTGAGGGCTGGGGGATCAGAAGTAACACGAGACCGGTGGTACAAATATAGACTTAATCCTCTTTATCCTATGGGCAGAGCAACTCTTTGGGAGGGTTTTATTATTTCTCTCTCCACAAAGCAGGAACACGTGACCTCTAACGAGTCCCGGGCACTGGCAGTAATATTTTGTGAAATATTTTGTGAGGCCAAGCTCAAGCCTACTATAAAAATAGGTAGCCGTCACCTGGCAGAGTCTGGGCAATGGCACCAGGGCTGTCCCTGGTAGTTTTCAGCTCGGCATTAGGAGCATCGCCCCCAGGAAAAAACCCTGGTCGCCCCTGAGACGGCTGCGGGACAGATGCCCCGGGCTCCCCGGGTCTGCAGGAGAGCACACGGTCGTCCCTGCAAAAGCCTGGCGCAGTCGGGGTCTGCCGACGGGAACGCCCATCTGACCCCCAGCCCCGCGTGCTGGTCCGCCACGACAGCTGCTTCCTTCCCCCCCAGGACGCGCCGACGCTCACGCACGGGCGGAGGGCGCAGGGATGGAGCAGCGGCACGCGTGCCCCGACGCGCGCT